TATATGATCCACAAAGAATGAATTTAAAATAAGGTGGAGACCACCCAAAAGTTCCTTCAATAATATTAGTAACAGAAATCAGACATACCCACCTAAATATTTTTGGTATTTAAAAGAAACAAATAAAACACCAAAAGCAAAATGGGAAATAATAAATAGAACAAGAACTTGTAAAACCTGGGATGACCCATGCCCTTTATGCCTACAAGAAAAACTACACATTATTAAGTTTCTCAAAAAACGAAAATGTATTAAATCAAAGAAATGAAATAACGGTTTTTTGCAGACACCATCAAACATTCGCCTTAAATAATTAGCATTTTATAAATGAAAAAAAAAAAAAAATAGTAATAATTTCCAAATCTATTAACAAGTTCAATTAAAACAATAGGTTTAAAAACACAACCTAATCATAATGTTAAAACCTCAACAAAAAAATAAATAAATAAACACCAAAACCTACCGGAACTACAACATCAATCAGTTAAAGTTTTAGCATATAGTAATAAAAAACAAAAAAACAAAAACAAAAACAAAAAACAACAGAATAGCAGGGAATCTGATAAGAATAGCCATTGTAGCCGACAACCCCCCACAAAAAAACCAGCCCAACCTTACACGACTCCAAAAACTTGACATATAACAAACACACCTACTACCATCAAAGCAGAGACCCCTTGATGATGAAAAACAAAACTTAGACCACACACCCATTTCAAAACTATAAATAAGTAAAACATTCCATAGCATAGTTATTCCAAACATTGCTTGAGGATGAGACTGACACCCGGTAGTTAAGGTTTAATATTGAAATTAAACCTGAATACTGCTGACCAGTTTCGAAACATAGTAATTTCTATGTCACGATGGAATCATATTTTAAAAAAGAAAAATAATTATAATCTAGGCTCTACTTGCGTATCGAGCACTGTTTTTAAAAAAAAAAAATACTAAAGAACTTCGGATCATCCATCTAACAGTTCTTTCCTATTATATCAATACACACACACATATACACAAATATATATATATATATATATATATATATATATATATATATATATAAATTTAAAAAAATAATAAACTAATCCTCATATAATATTTGACTGTGCCAACATTGCAGTAACTAGATATTTTGATTAAAATTTAAATTATACAACTGTCATTCTATACTCAGCACCTGAAGACTTCGTCGTGCATGAAACTCCGACACGTGCTACCGGTGAAGGATGATATGTATATTTATTAATATATAATCAATAGCTCTGTTTTATTACATCGAGCACTATATATGTGTGTGTGTGTGTGTGTGTGTGTGTATTTATTAATGTATATTTTGGCAGGTAACAAATATGACAGATAAAAAATTAATTAAATTTTATCTAGTATTTTTCCAGAATTCTGACATTTTTTTGTTTGTTTGGAGTAATGGAGTTCAAAAATTGTCCGTATTATGCCTTGTTCCAAGTGCTTTTGGCCAATTTTTCTAGCCATTTTCAAGGGACGTGTTTTTGGGTAATGTCAATTTCTCTTCATGTTTGTTTGATCTGTAATTTTTGTGTTGTGAATACTAATAGGACCATTTATTCTGAGCTTTGTGTGTTGGGCAGGGCTGGCATTCATATATATATATATATATATATATATATATATATATATATATATATATATATAAAAATTAATTGATTTAAAATATATATATATATATATATATATATATATAAAATTAATTGATTTAAAATATGGTATTTTTCCGCTACAAAGTTCTAACCATGGTTCAAAAATGGACGCTAAAAGCCACGAATTTAATTTTGCAATTAAATTAAAGACATTAGTCCAATTTCATCCTCAAGCGAATTTTGGAGTAACTTTTAAAATTACTGGGTTTTAAAGACACAGCTAAAATCACGTTTCCATGGTTACAGATAAATCTACTTCAATTGGTCAAGGGTTGTATGGGTTTTCCTTATGTCTGTATCATTGTATCGGTTATTAGCTACATTTTGGCAAGGGGTAGGGATGTATTTTTCAATGAGAACTGACTCCGTTGAATGCATGTCGTCTGGATTTTTTTTTTTTAAATTTATTGTTAACGGCAAAAAATTCTTACGGCATTTTTTCCTATTTGTAAATTTAAAGATTTTCGGGGGTTTTCAGATTAGAATACTTTTTAGTTTTTTTATATATATATATACACACACAGAGGATGTGATGGGTAAATTGTCGCCATTTGATATTTTTAATTTCACGCATGCGCGTTGTTTGTTTTTAATTTGTCGTCTGCACAGTATAGTAGGTTTAGTTGTGAGAAAATGAACACCATGAAACAATTCACTCCGTCAGAAATTTGGAAATGGCAAGCTGTACTGCTTGGCATTCGTGCCGGAAGCTCCAATACGAACATTTCAGAGTGTTAATCTGAGGACAGTGCAGAGGATTCGGAAAGAATTGGATGACTCTAATGTTGATCACGAAGGTACAACAGCTCGAAAAAACAAACACTGTGATCGTTCTGATAAGAAAAGGGCCTCAGATTTAACAGAGAGGCTTACATCAAGTGCCTTGAGGAGGTAGTGCTGCCTTGGGCCAAGTGGGTGGCAGTTGGTAGACTCTAAGTTTGGCTATAGTACTCTGTACCATACCACAAAAGCAGGAGAAACCAGTTATGGCTATCAGACAATTTCTGCGACTACATCACCCCTTATATTTGGGCAGATAATTCCCCAGACCGCAACATTCTTGATTGTTATGTGTCGGGTGCAGTTGAGCGAGAGAACAACAAAACTCCTTGTAACACCAAAGATGAACTAAAGGCAAGGTTTACGGCAGCATTCACCAAATTAATGAAGGGGACTGCCCAGAAAAGTTGTAGCAGCTTCCGAAGTCGTATTGGGGGCCATGGTTGAAGTCAATGGCGATTTTATTAAATAAATTTACTCTTTAGTTTTTCAATATATTTTTGTATAATTTTAGTAAATGTAACTGTTAAAATCAATTCTACTTTCATTTTTGCGTAATTCAGACAATTTTTGCGTAATTTAGACGACAATTTATCCATCGCGCGCGCGCACACACACACACACACACACACACACACACATACACACATATATATATATATTAAATTTACTTTTAAATCCAAAATTTTGCTTATAAACGTTATTTAAGTGGGCCCACGTTTTTTATCACGCTATTCATGAGTTTCAAAATTTTTCTTCAACATTGAATTTAATAACAACCGGCTTAGATTACGTTTGTCATATATATATATATATATATATATATATATATATGTGTGTGTGTGTGTGTGTATTAATTGATTTCACCCTAAGACAGTAAAGCCACTAAGACACAATTGGTTACTAGATGTGGAAGCAAGGGGACAGTAGATAGCAATTAACATTGTATTTGAATTTTTGCAGATTAATATTGTCTGCAGAACATAGAACCTGAATGGAGTTCCACAAGCGAGATGTGCCAAAAAAGACGCTGTTTGCATAGAATTTATGCTTACATATAGCGTGCTCAACTATAAAGTGATGAAATTTCGACGCCAGTCTAGTACTGCGCTTAAGTTTAAAAAAAAGTTTAGGTACCATAGCGAAGAGCTCATTCGAACAATTAGCATGAAATTAGTTATAGAAAAGACAGAGGGAGGCAACCCTATGGTTGTGGGAAAATGATTGATGCCAAACCACGTGATCAGAATCAATAATATTGCTGATTCTTCTTTGGATTTTATCAAGGAGCTCAAGGTAAATAGCAGAGGCAACGGACCATATGTGGCAGCAATATTCTAAGCATGGACGAATGGTAAACTTATAGATATGTATGATAAATACGGGAGAGAAAAATTGTCTCGCACGACACTGTGAACCGACTTTCTTAGCAGCTGTCCTAGCAATGGATTCAATATAGTCTTTTCACTTTTAATGCTTGAACTTGATAGTAAATTAAGATTATTATTAGTTTTTAGTTTTCTGTTAAACTCTGGGCTTTCACGTGGACGTCATATATGGCGTCAAATCTAGATTTTCACGTGGATGTGATATATGGAGACAGATCTACATTTTCACATTGATGTGATATATGGCGTCAGATTTAGATTTTAATGTGGATGTCATACATGGCATCCACTCATTCAGAAATAAAGTATAATCAGTATATAAGCGATTTGATTTTTTTCTCAGATCAATGACTAAATCTGACTTCAATAGAATAAAGCCTCATGAAACCTTAAGGAAGTTTATCTTTCATCAAATTCTAGAAATTGTTTGAAAAACCGTTTGTTGTCATAAAAAATATTCGGTGCTTTAATTTTCAGTGACAGTTTTCATTTCAACAATTAAGGATTCTTTATAAATATTTTACCGTTGAATTTCTGTGTTTCTTGTAAGAGTCTGACATTAAAATGTGTCTAACATCCGCTTTTTTCTAGCAATGTTTCATTCAATACACGAGTATTGCTGCATTTACAACTGGTCTTTAATTATTAAAAAGTTTCCATCACTCAGCAGACGCAGGCGTTCGTTAGGAAATTAAGTGCTCTTGAAATTTACCCATAGAGTTTCGGGCTTCTTTTTTTCATTAGAGTCTTTCGTCGACGATGATTTTCATTTCCAAAATGGCAACAACTCGATTTTCTTTTTTTGTATTTCCTTTTTTTTTTTTTTACTATTCTCACGGATATTGGTATAAAACTGGATGAAAAGACGAAATGGCAGAGAAGAGAGATTGTGAAAGAAAGAGAGAGAGCGTGAGTAAAGAACGGTAAGAAAGATAATAATGAGATGTAAGGGAAAAACAAAAGAATGAAATATACAGGTGCAGTAATGATGATGATGATGATGATGATGATGATGATGATGATGATGATGATGGAGCAATGAGGCGGGCGCTACTCAGAGAAGAACAGAAGTAATTGAAATGTGGCACGTAATAAAATGTTGAAAGGGAAAGAAAGAGGAAGATTGATGCTGTAAATAACAACGAGTGAGAGTTTACGAGACATACAAGAAGAATGGGAAACAGAGTGGGAAGACACACACACAAATACCCAGAGAGAGAGAGAGAGAGAGAGAGAGAGAGAAAGAGAGAGGCGGAAAGACGGAAAGGGTGAATGACATAAAATGCAGGAAGAAGAAAGAGTGAATGAGAAAGAAAGAGAAAGTCGCATAAACGGTAGAAAATAATTGTGACACTAAATTAGAGGCAAGATAGATAGATAGATAGATAGATAGAGAGATAGATAGATAGATATGAACAGACTGAGATAGATAGATAGATAGATATAAGCAGACAGCTATTTTGACAGAGAGACAAAGAGAGAGTAAGATAGATAGATAGATCGATAGATAATGAACATAGATAAATATATCGATAGATAGGTAGATAGATAGATAGATAGATATGAACAAACTGAGATAGATAGATAGATAGATAGATCGACAGATATGAAGAGACTGAGAAAGATAGATATAGACAGAATGAGATAGATACATACATACATGCGTATGAACATAATTAAAAAAATAGATATAAACAGAATGAGGCAGATATGAATTGAATGAGATAGCTAGATAGATAGATATGAACAGAATAAAACAGATATGAACAGAATGAGATAGATAGATAGATAGATAGATAGATAGATAGATAGATAGATAGATAGATAAGGATAGACTGCGATAGATAGATAAGAACAGATTGCGATAGATAGATAGATAGATAGATAGATAGATAGATATTCTAAGATGAGAGAAAAATAGAAACGGGAACATGCAAGGAGAAGGAAGTGAGAGAGTTAGAAAAATGTTGAATGAAGACAGAGAGTGAGAAAAAAGTGATTAGGGGTAGTGTTTTTTATGTGTGTATGTGTGTGTATATTCATGAATGTGTGCGTGTGAGAGAGAGGAGGGAGAGAGAGAAAGAGAGAGGTGGAGACTTGCGGAAAATAAGAAGGGATTTTATATTAAGAGGAAAGGAGAAGCGCTTGAAAAGTATGAAATGAAGAAAAAGATTGGTATAGATGGAAACAGACTGGGAAAGAAAGAAAGGAACAAGCAAACAAAGTGGAACAGATAGATAGATAGATAGATAGATAGATAGATAGATAGATAGATAGATAGATAGAAACAAACGGAGAAAGAAAGAAACAAGCAAAGAAAGTGAAAACAATAGATCGATAGAAACAGACGGAGAAGGAAAGAAAGGAATAAGCAAACAAGTAGAAAAGATAGATAGATAGATAGATAGATAGATAGATAGATAGATAGATAGATAAAAACAGACGGAGAAGGAAAGAAACAAGTAAAGTTGAATAGATAGAAAAAGACGGAAAGAGAAAGAAAGAAACAGCAGAAGAAATAAAAAATAAAGAGAAAAATCGAAGTGTGAAAAGAGGAATGCTTGTAAGAAAATAGGAAAGACAGATTAATGCGCGGAGAATGAGGGGGACGAAGAGGACAATAGAAAGAAAGTAAAGGAGAGAAAGCATAAAAGAGTGTGAGAGTGTGGTAGGGTGATTGAAAAAGTAAGAATGCAGTTCAAATAAATTTAACCGAAAATGATGAAGCGAGATATAGATAGATAGATAGATAGATAGCGTAGTGAAAGAGAGAGTGAACATGTCTGATTTGGTGTTTATTTTCTACTGGTATTTATACGAAATATAGCCTCTTCTTCTTCTTCTTCTTCTTCTTCTTCTTCTTCTTCTTCTTCTTCTTTCTTCTTCTTCTTCTTCTTTTCTCCTTATCCTCCCTTCTCTCCCTCTCAAATCAGAAAAAAAAACAAGCGTAAAAGCTAATATGAGTGGGAAAGCTGACAAAGAGGAAGAGAGAAAGCCTGCTCCGAGAGATTATCAACTCTATATTCACTCATTACAAATTCATATGGTTTGTTGCTCAAGGAGGTGCTTCCCCGCCAGCTGCTGACGCCTTCGTTTCAATTCGACTTTTCCCGGTGTCAGCGGTTAGGGCGCTTATCTTTTTTAATAAATTGTATTAAATCGACGTCTCTCGACTACAACTTCACGAGACTTGGCAGCTGATCGTTCTCTGAGCGACAATACTCCGGCCACAACTTCCGGTAGAAGCTTTTGTCTATGCAACGAAGCGACGTAAGAAAAAGAATTCTTGTGACTAATATAGTAAAGGAATGCTTGTTTTTCTTTATACACAAATGCACAGAAGAGACTAGACAGGCATGTCCACACACGGATACATACGTGTATATACGATGGGTCGCCGAAAAGTTTTCAGATCGACTAGTTTCTCTAAAGATTCTGATGTTTGATCGTTTATGTTGATTATGCAAAGTCTGTTGGGCCGAGAACATTTCAGCAGCTCATTATCTTTTCCTTTCTTCTCTCTCTCTTTTTGTTTCTATTGATGAAAAGTCTAGAACATTTCAGTAGCTTATCTTTTCTTTTCCTACTCTCAATATCTTTCTATTGATGAAAACACCGGAAGAGTGGACTGTACAATTATAAATTGTACGAAATTGAATCGAGGTGCTGAATATGACATCAATTAACTAAGAGACAAATTTCATCTGTATCAATTGTACATATTTCCTTTTCTCTCAGCCGTGCGCCGACGTCTTAGGGATAGGATCTCTGACTGATGCCAAATTGGTCGAGTTTCGATCCCTGCTTGAAGCAATCGGACGTCTAGACACACTGAAGAGCTGTGATACAGCGAAACAGTCTGTCGATATATATATATATATATATATATATATATATATATATATATATATATATATATATATATATATATAATTCTCAAATGTGTATGTATGTATGTGTGTGTGATCGGATGTTCTTTATGCGTTTCTACAGTTTTCATCCGATTTCGATGAATTTTTTTTGTTTGAGAAGTAATTCTTCAGTACCTGTTTTGAGTCCAAATTGTTGGCGACAATGGCTCTCCACTACTTCCTGTCCATTATAACTCTCAGCAACGTTTTACTATTTACTATCTGTTCTTGGATATATATCTTTCATAAAAACTTTAATAAAAATAAATAGTTTAAATTATTACAATAATATTATTTATATCTATAATTCCCAAAATGTGTGTGTGTGATCGGATGTTGTTTATGCGTTTTTACTGTTTTCATCCGAATTAGACGAATTTTTTTTTTGTTTGATATATAATTCTTCAGTGCCCGTTTTGAGTTCAAATTACACATTCCCCTTCTCTTGGCCAAGCGCTCAATCTTTCTCAAGTGAGCTTACCTTTTCCTTTGAATAAAGCCTACTACTACAGTTTTAAGTCGTTGCTTTCATTCTCGTTTATAACCGTTCACGATTTAAATTTTTTTTATTGTCCTCTCAGTTTTTGCATTGCATTCTCCGTAGTGATAAGTAAGCTTGTTTTTTTTTTATTAGTCAACATTTATTTTTCTAACCCTTCCTAAAGTTATTCGAGCTTAGTGATCCCTGTAGCTTTACATCGTTCTTTTCTGGTATTTGTCCATGCCTTCCATTTGACAATTCATACTTGACTAAGACATGCCACCAAAGAAAGGACTTGTCTAGGTCACAAAACCGCTGCTGCCAGGTCCGCCATTTCAAGATATCGTCTTTAGAATGTTCATTTTTTCTGTCTCAAAATGACTCTTGGAATGCTTCAATCAGAGCCCCTCAACGTAGCCATCAGATTTCCAGAAGAGCATACCCGAACGCTTCTGGGCGTGAGGTTGAAAATGATGATCAAAGGACTGAACGGCTGAGGAGAAACGTCTCTTCAACTGCTGCTGTTCGTGAGGCTGAAACAAGATTGAGAACGGAAAAACGGCCATTTTTAGCGCCACCGCCACCCCATTCAAATTCTTAACCCTCCATTTGGGGATGTGCCTCAGTTGCACCTAATTGTTGTTATTAATATTGATTTTCGGGTGGGCTGACTTTAAGCTTAAACTGCTCCAAATGAACGGTAAAAAATTCCCAGTAATGAAAGACCCGGTCGAATACGGGTTATACTGCTATATATATATATATATATATATATATATATATATATATATATATACAAATGGGAGAAAGAACAGATTCCACTATTCGTAGCACACACACACACGAACTTACACACACACACACACACACACACACACACACACACACACACACACACACACACACACACAGAATTATTATATATGTAGATACTGTGACGTAGCTCCGATTTCATTAACCATATAGGCGTAAGGCTAAAAAGCACCCCAAAGTAAAACAACAAATTCTAGTCGAAAATTAGTTAGATATAAAAGAAAATAAATAAATATAGAAATTTAATCCAATGCTTTCGACTTGTGAGCGAATATGTTCCATGATCAGCCATACCCTCCTCTTCTCTTCACAAATTATTTCCTTCTTTATCTACTCTTCCACCCACAAGCCAAGGGCCCGTGACCCGACGCAAGAATGACCTGGTTCCAAAATTTCGCAGCTATCAGGCGGCTGACCATAAGTGAATTCCAGGCACCATCAGGATCTCCTGCTGCGATTCACGTGACCAGAACATACTAAGTGTGTATTGAACTTTTGGCCATCACACAAACACTGCGCGAATTTGCGGTCAACGACGAAGGGAACCCACGTGACTGTCTTTGGGGACAGCAATAATCTAAAGAAGGATTTTGAATTTTCCCTCTGACCAGCGGCAGTTGAACGTCGCTGGGCAACACGTCCCTATTCCAAATGGAATGCCCACTAAGATGAAGAAGACAGCAAAGTCTGTCGACTAGAGATGAAAGGACTGCTATGAAACTGAATCAACCCAACGAAACGCCTGTACGAGATGCTGTGGACCATCGAACACTTGCGAAAGAAAAGGAATCCAGGAAAATCGCCAACCGACCAACATAAGAACTCTCGCTTCGGCGAATCAGAACTTTATGTGAAAATATCAACTCGACTGACAGATAAGCTGACTCTCTTGGCTTGATCTTTTTTTTATATATATGTATGTATTCGCTCGCGCCTTCTGTTCTTTAATGATCCCCTTCCCCTTTGTTAAATGAATATTCTTTTTTTCTTTCTTTATCTGTTTATATATTTATAAATAAATGTTTTATTTTGAAATCCATCGTCTTGTGTTTGTTCTTCGTTGATTCTCTTGTGTCGCTTCCATTTCTGAGTGAAGACCGAGAAAAGATCCCACGTTTTCCTTTTTTTTAAACCCGTGGTTCATCTATATGCTACAAGTTCGTAACAATATATATATATATATATATAATTAACAAGAGTCGAGTCCAGAGTGACAGAGTAAAGGTTGTAGGTAACCGGAAGAGTGAGGGTGAGGTAACAGCGTTGTAGGAGTCGCAGTGAGTAATCACGTAGACTCAGTAAGAACTTCAATATATATATATGTATATATATATATATATATATATATATATATTGCTACTAACCCGTATTCTTGGAACTACTAACCTGCTTTACCAGTTTGTATTATTACGTTAATACATTATTTTCATATATTCATTCCTGGCGTTTGTTATTTATTGGTACCGGATTTCAACGCGGAATCTACAACACAAATATAATGTTTGTCACTTAGGTGATTGGTATTACCTTCGGCATCCCAACTCCATATTTTAAATCACTTAATATATATATATATATATATATATATATATATATATAACCCGTATTCGACCGGGTCTTTCATTACTGGGAATTTTTACGGTTCAGTCAGTGGCGGACATAGAAATTAGCACTGCATCGTAACTAATAGTTTCTCCCCTTCAGCAATCATCAGACCATCTAATATTTGCTTTCTATGTTCACCACTATTTATATCTTGATAATGATTAATGTTTGTGTCATACCTGTTTTGATATTCAGTGCGTGCCAATACCGTGAAATCTTATACAAGATGGTCAAGTGTTTCTGGATATTTGTCACAGAATCTGCATCTTGGGCTAACACAGTTTTTCAGTATGTGAGTTTCGTAATTTCTAGTTAGCAAGCATTAGTCACGTGTAGCAAGAATATAACCTTCGATCTTGGCTTTTAACCTTGAATTATGTAACCACTGATAGGTATGGAGTAGAGTACTGACCATAAAGAGGCTTATCTTGCCATCGTTTCTGCATTTGCTACATTTCATTTGCTTTCTTTTTTAGGTTCTTTGCCGCTGCAGTAGGTTTATTATGGTTTACTTGCACTTTTTCACCCACTGGAAATTATCTTTTGAATTTGTTGGCTTCCTCTTTTCTTGGGTTTCTGTTGTATACACACTTCCTTCTGGGTCCCAACTAGAAACCTAAGGCCAGAAATGGCTTCATGACAAATTCCACTGATCATTTTTTGTAAAAAGCACAAACAAAACACCCTAAGACCACACACATTTTGCATAGATAAAACTCTTCGTAATGCGTGAGCTGTACTTGTGATTACAATCTTTTGCATTTATTGGAATTGTTGATATTCTCATGTGCCACTTCAAGATCCTTGTATTTTGATAGTTTTTTTTAAAAAGATTTTCAAAGATATATTACAATTCCTCAGCTCCCGAGCATGTACGTTACGCTCGGCCAATATCTCGCAAATAATGGTTTGATTGTGAGGTAAGACAGAAAGGACATATCAGAAACGCTGCTGATTTCAGTGAGAAAAAA